AAGCAAGAACTATACTTATTCAAAGTCAGGGAAAATATTGCAACCAGTTGAGCATAACAGCCAAGCATGAAACGGTTGTAGTTGGTGAGGTATATAGGCTATAGGTTTCTCAGTACACGTTTCCTTAAATGTCACAAACATGAGGAGTGGAAAGGAAACCAGGTCATAATGGTCCAAAATACATATTCAAGCGGTTTAAACCGCTAAAAGATTTTTTATTTGTCCATTCTAATTAAATCTACACAGCCCTACCACACAGAACAGTCAGGTGAATGACACCACTTACAGTTCAAGAATATGGTTTTGCCATCTCTTCGCCTCCAGCCTGCAAACTGGACAGTGAAAGCAGTGGAATCTTGAGGTTTTCTCTGCTTATTTGACTCTTACCATTAGTACATTCCTGGTCAATACATTTGCACACCCGACTGACTCCCATTCATGCCCCTTGCACTCTTAAATGCTGCTGTATAGAGGAATTGCAAGAGGTGGATACCAAGTCAAATCTAGGTACTTACCAACTGCATTAAAAAAAAATATATTATTTTCAAACAGAGCTGCATTAATCCGTGTCTTTTAGATCTCCCTGGAATTTAGCTTTACCAGTCATTTCTCATATCTATATGCCAAGAACTTGGCTAAATACCCATTTACCTCCTGACAAACCCAAATTAGCGGCAAACAAATCGAATGAAAAACAATCAAGCTAAAACTTGCTTAAATACAAGGCTAGCTTTGCTGCGATATGCAGCTTTGATGATGCCAGAGGAGGAGACACCACACCCAAATTCATTTGACAAAACTTTTATTTGAGGCACATGCTAGAGCAAATTTAATTTGCTCCACTATGAATATTTATACAGTGATAAATCAAAATATTTCTTCATCAGTTAACATTAAACCTAAAAAGGTTTTTTTTATTAACAAAACATATCTACCTCCAGAACAGATATACCTCTCAGTAATATCCTGATGGGTATATCACAAGTGAAAAGGTAATAGATATGTTTTTTTAATGCAGGATGAACATAAACAACAACATATGATGACTATTTACTACTAATTTTTTTCTAAAAAGATATAATGCTATATTATAATGCTTAAAAAAGTAACAGAAATTCCAAAACAGTCAGGTTTTACTGCCCCCTTCAGGAGATTGGGACACTGGCAACAGAATAGTAAGTCAGGCCCTTCTCTACTCAGCATGCCTCAGTTTTTGGAGGAAGCAATGCACAGGGCCAACAAGTACAGAAATGTGGAACCAGTGTCCCTCAATGGACTTGAATAAATAGATTTTATGCCAAGTGCTCAAACTGTATTTACACAGGTATTTAGAAACAGCCAGGACACCCAAAGGGAGGTCAACTGCAGGATGGGCAAGAGCCACTGATGGATCCAAGATGGAACCAGGAACAGTCTGCAACAGAGGACATCCAGAAGCACCAATTGATGGAAACCAGATAAGAGGCCACAGAAAAATCAACCTGATGCTCAGATGGCAATAGAAGAAACCACCAAGTGAAGACTTGGAACTGAGAATACATTGAGCCGGCTTTGAGCAGCTGCGAGCCAAAACAAGGAGGGAAAACACACACACACAAGGTTTTGACAAAGAGGAATGAGAATCACTATAGGGAATAATTGCCAAAGGCAAGCTCCCACCTAGAACAGGATGTGGGGAACCAAGGGTAGATACACAACTATGTGTAGTAGCACATAAGACATAATAAGGGGCAGCTGAAAGAGATGCTGTGCCTAAGAGTTTAGTCTGAGCTAAAAAGGCACATCTCCTGAGCAACCAAATACCATGGATACACAATACCTGTAGAAGTAGCGGTGCACCTTCATGCTGAAGGTTTAACGGAGGACCTCTGACTTTGGGCCCTAAGGCTTGTAACAACCCATCAAGCCAGAGCACAAGGCTCTAGACATTTGCTCCAAATGCTCTAACACAGGGGCCTATAACACTTTTCCCCAACGGTGTAGGTATTCTCTCCAAAGGATTTTTTCCATTCCATTTGACAGATCAAAGTTACTATCAACACAAGACAGAGGTCCAAAACAGGTAATGTAAACTGGGATCCAAGTAGGGAATTCAACTTTTTGTCAGTGAAGTCCCAAAAGGGGAGTGCATCCCAAATCCTTTTAGTTCTGATTAAACAAATCCTCCTTTTCATATTACATGGCAGGTGCCGCTCACTCACAAGATAGCCAGAATGAAATCGCCTTGCAGCAAACAAAAGGAAAGGATAGGACACGTACTGAGGTTACACCATAGGTGACTAGCAGGTGGATTTCTGGTTTGCTTAGGTGGAATCGATTGTTTGCTGCAAGGCGATTTCATCCTGGCTATCTTGTAAGTGTGTTTTATTGTTGCAATAAATTCCGTTTAACGTACTTCACCATTTGGCGCATTTATTCCTCTTCTATATTGGATTTCTCCCCTCGCTAAGTGAGTGGCGCCTGCCGTGTAAAACGAAAAGGATTTATTTAATCAGAAGAATGAATATCCCATCTATGAAAAGACACTCACCACAATTAAGTTTGACCATTGAGATATATGGCCATGGATCTCTGGTGAGTGTGTTCTCAGTTACCTTAACACACCGGGAGTTGGGAGCACTTTATGTCAGAGGATCATTGTCACAATATGGATTTTGCACAAAAGCACTTTATACGGCTTTACTAAGGTCTATTTTTGAATATTGTCATATTGATTATTAGGTTTGAAAATGTATGAAAATGTACACATTGTTTGGAAGTTTATGCACGTTTATGAGCAGTAGTGCAGTGCACACTATTCATCAAAAGAGTTTTAATCACACACACACGCCTCATTCTGGCTTGCAGTGTTTCTGCATTTTAAGTATGAGAGTTTTGTTCAAGAGCTCTGCCCAAGGGACAACCCTTCTATCCTGCGTTTGCCAGCAATGCTTTGACAGTATACAATATACTTTTACCACCATTGGGCATGAATACAAACAGTTCAGCAATACCAGGCTTGCAATGGAGTATTGCCATTTGTTTTCTCCAGGCAACAGATTACACAGTTCTTAAGAGACAGATTATATCCAATGCAGTCCGCTATCTGCAAAATTCACATTAGATAATGTATTCAGTTAATGTGACATTAAACCCTCAGATTTTAAACATAAAACAATACTGCAATGTGTGCCTTACTGTAATCCATGGTTGTTTCCCTTCTCTTTGCTGCTCATCCTTTTAAATCTGTATCTGTTCTCATGCTCTGCAGAACTTCTGTTTTGCAGCAGACTGCCTTGTCTCAGGAATGGATATATGGTGTCTGTGTATACATTTCTATAGGCTTGTAACCTGAGCCAGCACTACAGGAAGAGGCCCTGAGCTGCAAAGGGAAGTTCTGCAGAGCATGAAAAGACATGAGGATTTAAAAAAGAGCAGCAAAGAGAAGGGAAACAACCATGGATTACAGTAAGGCACACATTACAGTATTGGTTTATGTTAAAAAAATCGAGGGTTTAATGTCACTTTAAAGACATACCCAGATGGACTTTGTGCAAAGTTCAATAACCATTTTCATCATTATATTTTGTAGATTGATTTGCAAACTAACACTATTACTATTTGCACTGCTTCCCTCAAAATGCCATTAAATGTTGAAATAAAGCAAGGTTGTTCAGTGGATACGGATTGTCATTTAATGTTAATAGCGGATGGATGCGAATTATAACTACACCCATTTATATATGGCTGTGAGTGTTCACCCAGCAACAGGGATACATTTAGGGTTCATGCTGTTCTGAACAAAATTTGATGTGGCTTTGTACAGAGCATACCCAGATTGTCCACATTTATGTTGCACGTTTATTCTTACAAAATAAATACTGTATGAACTACTTGCTTTATTCGCTATGGCCTGAAAGCAATATCACTCCACATGCAGAGGACTACATAATTGATCTATAATGTTTGCACAAGATGATTTAATTTATGGGAACGTCAAATAATCTTGTTACTTTCCCATGTGGCCCCTTCATCACCTTTTTACAGGAATCACAAGTCCATTATTTGACCAATAAGCAAAATGAATAAAAGATTATGTTTCAATGTCTCTCTCCTCATCTTGCTGCTACAGGCAATAGCCCTGGGGTGTATAACAGTAAATGTGGTTCTTCCACCAGAAATTATTTGGAGAAGAGCCATTTTATGTCAGCTTCTACGACAGTATTGTACCTGGTATTCCTAGCAAATTTCAGTCAGGGGGCTATAAATTACAAAAGTTAAGACAGTTAAGAAATGCCTATTTTAGCACATCAATACACATGAGCTAGGCAACATCAATAATTTTAAAAATTTGCTGCCAACGTACAGGCACTACCTCTGGTCCAGCTTCTAGAAAATTAGCCTGAGCGAGGAATTGTTGCATGAAAGACATGTTTCACTGAGTTTCTGCAAAAAGACAACAAAAAAAAGCTTGTTAGTCTACAAAGTAATAATGAATATAACAAGCTCAAAACAATTTCTATTAAAAAAAACCAAGCTTGGTCCCAGCAGAATTATAGATTCTACAGTAGCTGCTGGTAAGTAAAATCTCCATTAGAGGATTTGCAGGAAGTGCTAAGTAGAGATGAGGTTCAGGTTTTCCCCTCCATGTTTCACCTTGCAGGAAATCGCCAGACGGAATTCTTTGCAAGTATAATGCAGTGCCCGTCTTAGCTCTACTGGTTTAGAAGAGCCAATAAAAGGGGATAAGCCAACCTTTTCTTCAAAATCAAGCAAAATGTCACTGGAGATGGGCTGGGTTTTGCCACGCTGATGTGCCATAAAAATCGTTTAAAGTGTCCTCTTTTGAAAATCGGTATTGAAGTTTGTTGTGGCTTCACGGTCGAATCCAATTTTAAGGCTTGATATGTTTGATATTTACCCAATGTGACCCCATCTTTTATATTTTACCAAAAATGTGGGTATTATATTCTGTTTCTGTGCACTACCTTTTATTTTAGTGTATTTTAGCTAAAAACTGGTTTGATAAACATTTGTGCAAATACTGTGCAACATAAAAAATTGCAACTAACATTTTGTTTATTCTACAGAGCCTCTGCTTTCAGAAAATATATCATTGTTTGGGGGTTTGAAGCTGTTTTCTAGGCAAAAAGTCAGATTTATCATGTGTGCAAATCGTAAAAAAATGCTCTGGATAGCAAGTGGTTAAAAAAATGTATGGGGGGGCTGGGGCAGCCCAGACCAGGAACTTACCACTTAATGTGTGGAGTTGCACGTAATGTTTTCTTGTGATCAAAACCTTTCTGCAACATTTTATAACCACATGTAAATTCAAGGTCTTTTTTCCCCTCTTATGGCAGCATGTCATGCCCAAGCTCTGACACTGAACACACTACAGGGGTCATACTTCTCTGCAACCTTCCTCAAACAAACCACAAATTTCAATTTTGGATTTTTAAAATACTTATCCCCTTCGTGACTGACGACGTACAGTGTACGTCGCCAGCATCGGGGCTGTTTAAACAGACTCCCGGCGACTTTTGCCGCCACATCCCTGCCCAGGCATGCTTGCCCTGGGCAGGAATGGCCTTACAAGGGTAAACAAATACAAAAAATAATGAAAATGTGATGGCAGGTGGGAATATGTTAATGTGGGGCCACCCAGGCCATGAACTTTGCACCAAATATGAAAGTTGGGAGTTGCAGTGAATGCTTTTAGTAGCAAACCCATCTTTTAGGTCATGTAGTGTGTGCTCTAGAAGGAACACAAAAGGGGTCATGTCACTAATCCCTGCCTCGATGCAGCTCACCATTTAAGTCACCACTTTAAAGGGGGCCAAATGGTGCAGTTTTTTTATATTTTTTTGGGCATGACAGACCTCTTCTAAACCATCCTCCAATAGTAGCCTTACACGATCCCAGGCTCCGCCCATCTGTCACTTTTTCAAACCCCTGTATCTCCTGCCCGTTCTTGTCAATTCATCTCGGGCTTGAAAAAGAGGCATAGAGCCTCGAAACGCGTAGCCAACCCCCCAGACTGACATCCCCACTACTCAGTGAGACAGACCTCCCGGTCTTTCAGCCTCGTGCCCGATCTCAGCGATCATACACACCCACTGATGGCTGACAGCCTACCACCCCTTGTGAGCGGTATCTTCGATCCGCAGACGGGTCCCAGCCTGGCCAGCCACGGTGCCCGACTGTAGTTACATCTCCAGTGTACAGATGTTCCGTACACATGGCTGCAATGCACCACCCCAATACTATGGGAATATTCTTATGGTCCAGCTACAGGAGCCTTTCGTGACCCAAGCTGACAGCACCATCCATCCTCCACCTGCAGGATATCATCATGTCCATCTAACAGTGAGTCCTGAATCACAGACAGTAACTTCATGCATTACACTGCAATTCATTCATAAATTAATCTATCTAGTAACATAAAATCCTGGGTTGCAGCACTCTCTCTGCTTTTCCATAAGATTCACCCAAACTGCTGTGAAGGATATGTAGCGCCTCTGCCGTTGATTATTGGACCACGTGTCCGTGATCATGTGTATCCTCCCACTGACAGCGTGGTCCAGCGTCAGACACATTACATGCCACATGCTGGTGGAGGGTAATGATGGACTTCTGGGGAACATAATAGCCACTGCGGTGTAGCACAGGCCATATACTTGCAAAAAGGGGGCAGATTTCACCAGCTGGAATAGGAGCGGCTGCAAAGTTTTGCCAAGCTAGCATTAAGACACTGGGCATGGAAGTGAGACATTTTCTCCTGTCCAAGACATCTGGAGATCAAGGGGTGGTCCTGGCCCTCGCTTGATCCTCCCCTTCGTAGCCCCCTGACCCTCTTCCCCATTTGATGTGGTATAGCCTATGAAACCCCTTGTGAGATTTAACTCCCTGTCACTAGAGGCTGCAGATACTGCAGCAGCTGAAGGAGGACAATATAATTACATATACAAAATGTAGTGTTAGAATATGTCATCTCCCAAGCAAACAATTTAAAAGGCAACGTCACGGTAGTTAGTGCATTGTGGCAGGTCTGGCATTGCATCACACAGTGCCTGAGCTGTCAGTTTAATTTTTTTTTTTATATGGCAGGTAAATTATGTACACTCCATTCAGGTTCATGCATAGAAGCGTGCTGGCATCCACTGCACTGCAATAAAATGCCACATGATTACATTTTATTGCAGAGTCCCACCCATCACAACCGTGTTGTGGTGTGAATGGAACACATAGAAAACAATTGTTTTCTACGTGTCCTTGCAGTGACCCGAGTTAACCTGGTGCGCTATGACGCAGGTCACTACTATATATGCGTGAATGGGCCCTTGACATCACATTTATTAAAAAAAAAAAAAAACAGCTGTGGGATAAAATGGTATCAGCCAAATTAATTTGAAACAGTCATTTTAGATTATAATAGATGCTGGAGAGTTTATGGAACTGTATTGCTTAGGTTTTTGTGCTTAAATTAGTTGTTTAGTATAAAATCTTAATGCTGCATTCCACCAAGAGGTGACTCACACCGGATACATACAGGTGAAATACCACCTTTTTTAGTGGACCAACCATTTAAAGTTGATTTGTCATAATATGCTTGTGGGCTGCCATTGCTAGCCTGCTTCGGAGAATGGGAGTTGCCTAGCTGTGTGCCTTCTATACCTCAGGTCACTGACCTGAACAAGTATGCTTTACACACAAGACAAAATTATTTTCAGCTATATTTCTGGGTCAGTGACAAAGTATTAGGGGCCAACCTGACCCATGTTTCCATCACAGCAGGTTTCCTTTAATTCCTATTAAAAAAAAAAAAAAAAAAGGTAATATGTAGGGATACACAATAGGCTAAGGAAGCGGAAGTCAACAGATCAAGTTACATGGTATTCATTGTTACTCAGCCAGGAATTAAAGTATGATCCAAGTTGCCAAAACAATTACATTTAGAAAGAAAAAAAAAAAAACTTTTTTCCCTGCTCCGAATTGGGTGTGACTGCACAACAAAAGAACAATTCCTCCCAACTCCAGCCAAAACCAGGACAGAAAATGAGCAGAGGGATCACCAAGACATGACAGACAGCAATTGAAGCCTCAGAAGTACAAACCTACACTAAAAAAATAAATACGCTGCAGTCACTGTTTGTCGTCTAGCTTGGATAGAGGAATCTGATCTTCTGCAAGCTGAATGACACACACACACACACACACACACACACACACACACACACACACACACTTAAGTTTTACAGGGAGCAAAACTCAGAATTCGTCATCTTAGAAATGGCATGTAGAGTAAAAGTGGTTAATGTGTCAGGAGAACTAATTAACATGAAAGGGTCTTTCTCACAGACAAGGAATATGTCATCTGCCGCCCTAGGCATTAACAGACACGACACACCCTGAGCCGCCGCCCACAGATCTTGTAATTGCAAAACTGAAAAATCCAAAAGCCACGTTGTACTAGACATTTCTCAAGAGAAAACTTGATACAAAAATCCATACATGCAACACAATTCTTGGCTACTTAACCTGGCCATACACCTATAGATTATCTGCAGACTTCCTATGGCCAGATGGAAAAAGGGCAACAGATTCCTCTGTGTACTCTAAACTGTGTGAATGTAGGAATCTTCCACTGGGCCAAGCTTCAGTATCTTGCTAGTCGGCCCCACTGGCTCTCAAAACACCTGAACAATGCCTTCATCCAATCAGATTGTGCAGGTGTTTTGAGAGCAAGCGGAGCCAATTAGCAAGATCCTGAAGCTTGGCCCAGTGGGGGATTCCTCCATCCACACACTTCAGGGTAGATGGAGGAATCTGTTGCACTTTTTCCATCTGACCATAGAAAGTCTGCAGATAATCTATAGGTGTATGGCCAGCTGTATTCTCATGAATGACAAATCCTCCAAGCAATCCAACATCCATGCAATGAACATTATTAAGGGGGTATTTCCCAAAATCTGCAGCAGCTGTGCATGGCAGAGAACGGAAGAGAAAAGCCAATTGGTTATTATGGGCAACTGCTGTAAATTCTGTCTGCTGCAGTTTTGATAAATTCCCCCATTGACATTTAAGACACAGAAGGACATTTATCAATTTAATTACACCACTGGCTTCTTTTAGGGCTAGTTCACACCATCTTCAGACCAGATCTGGTTGAGTTTCTGCATTTTTTAATGCAATCTGGTGCGTTTTATGTCTCAAATTACGTTCTAGTGCATTCCAGTGTGTTATGGTGTGTTTGCATGCATTGTGGTGCATTCCAGACCAGAGAAAATAGTGCATGCAGTAATTATTTTTAAATGTTCTGAAACGGATTGCCGGGGTGTGAACTAGCCTCACGTTTGACCATAGGAATGAATGGATTGGCTTTTTGGACCAGACAAAAAAAGTTCTGGATGTGGCCCAGACATGGTTTTGAATGGGCCCTCAAACTGTCACATCCCTGATTTTTAGTGCATATTATAGTGACAGATGTATTATTCTAGTTTACGGTTTTAAGGAGAAGGGTCTCTAAACTGACAAACTTGCAGGGGACCTACTGGGAGGACAGCTGAATAGCCCTGAAGTGCTTAGCTGACCTGAGGAAATGAAGTTCAATTATCTTTGCACTACTTCAAGAAGTGCTCACTTCTAGATTGTGCGACAGTTTGGAGGTCTTTAAATATTGCACATGCTGGATGCAATTACTGCACAGTTGAGGAATTATGCAAAATATATGCAGGGAGTTGCAAACATTAATAAAGATTCATATAGGACACCAGCACTCCAAATTAGAGGACAAAAAAGACAAACGTATGTGCAGCATATGACATCCTCTGGATCTCTGTACCCCAACATGTCCATCCATCTCCCACTCCGATTGCCTTTAGGCAATCCCTAAAGACTCATCGCGTCAGAGAAGCTTATCCCACCTCAAACTAACCACTCAACCATCACATTCTCAAACAATTCATCCCCACACAGCTACCTCCTCATGTATCACTTGCTCCTCCCTATTAGATTGTAAGCTCTCATGGGCAGGGCCCTCCTTACCACCTTGCCTTGTAATATTTTCCTTACATTGTAAAGCACTGTGCAAACTGTTGGCGCTATATAAATCCTGTATAATAATAATAGCAATGTTTCAGGGTCACGCAGGATCCCCTTCCTCAGGCAGAACATTAATATGTCACAAGAACACTTAAACAAAAAGGACACAACAGAGATAAAACGTTGTAGTTAAATGACATTTTGGTCTTTCGCAATTAAAAGTGTTATTGTAAACATGTTCATAAAATTCCCAACAGTATGCCACCATTGGAGGTGAAAATTATACTGCCGCCAATGCAGCAAGTACAAGGTTAACAGAATCTTGGCAACCAACCTCAAAGTCGGTTTAATGTTTCCTCATTTAAAAAAAAAAAAATATATGGTTGAGCCGAGTCACAACTACAGCTTGTTATTTGTCTGCTTCTAATACTCAGTCATTATACAGAAACGGAGATGTTGAAAAAGACAGCTACACGCTGTTACAACAAAAACACAGGCTTACAACCTTTAACTAGATATTGGGCGGAAAACCATGTACCCTGGCACTAAGAAATAGCACCAGGGGAGGTGTACCGCACCGTTACACACCATCAGACTTAAATAGGTGGAAGTCCGATTTGTACTTTGCCCCTTGCACTCTTTTATTGAGAAAGTCCAGTTGCCTCTGCAGTTAAAGCTTCTCTTTGTGTTAATGCAGCTTTCATTTACACAGAACAAAAGGAGTTAATAGAAAGTAGTAAAACTAAAACCCACCTTATGGAGTTTGCAGTGACTGATGGTTTGTAAGCTGGGAAGTGGAAGGCTGCAGAGTCAGGCTCTTGATTTTTATGAAGAAGTTGACAAAACCACACCTAGCAACAGCACATACCTCCAACATGACTGCCATTGGCTGGCGGCCTAAAAGCTGTTCAAGCAATATTGCTAAACTAACAGCAGATTATTTCCATCACAGAAACTTTCTGGCATTTTCTTATGGAAGGGCGCGTATCACCGTACAAAACATCGGCAGCCTAAAAAACTGAAACAAAAATAAACAGTGTAGCTGACTATTAGCAATAAGGCTTCATTTACACTTGTACTCTTGTATTTAGATTAACCACTTTAGTACCGACTTGTTAACCACTTGCTGTCTGGAGCAATTTGTTACATTTGCACACACATGATAAAATCTGAATTTTTGGCTACAAAACAGCTTCAGACCCCTAAACAATTATATATTTTCTGAAAGCAGAGGCCCTGTAGAATACAAAGATGCTAGTTGCAATTTTTTATGTTGCACAGTAACTGCACAAATGTGTATCAAACAAGTATTTTTAGGGTAAAATACACTATAATAACATTTAGTGCACAGAAACAGAATATAATACCCAATTTTTTGGTAAAATATAAAAAACGGGGTCACGCCAGGTAAATAGATACCAAACATGTCAAGCCGTGCGTCCGTGAAACTGCAAAAAACAGCAATAACCAAAATTTCCCATAGGCGACACTTTAAACGATGTTACTGCTCATCAGTTTAGTGTTAACAGTGATTGATGGGCCTAGAATTATTGCTGTCACTCCGATACTTGCTCATTTTTGCACTTAAGTGCATCCAACGCGTGTTTGCGTTGTATGTGCGTGCATGTGGGCTGCGGGGGAGCTTTGACATTTTGTTTTGCATTTTTTTTATCTGTTACTTTAAGTTTTACAATTTTTTTTTTTTACACTCAACTTTATTGCTACCACATAGGGGGCTAACAAGCCCCCTATGTAATAGCAAATATAATGTGACAGGTCCTCTTTATGGAGGAGACATCAGATGTCTTTCAGACCCCTAATGTCACCTAGTGTTCCCAAAGAAGCTGATGAAGCAGAGATCTGCTTCACCAGCTTCTTCTTCTGGCTCTAGAGGAAACAGAGAATGTGCTCAGTGACACCGGAAGTGATGTAATGCCGCTGGCGATCCTGAGCCTCGCTGTGCCGGTGTGAGCCCGGGACCAGCACAGCAGCTCTGTGACCGGAGATCAAATGGAGTTCAGTACATGATTTCCCTTTGATCTCCTCCTTGTTGTTGGAATGGAGGAAGTGATGTATATGACATCACTTCTGCATTCATCTCTCACTCTCTAGTACAGAAGCCGGAGAGAAGCTAGTGAAGTAGGTCTCTGCTTCATCCGCTTCACTGGGGATCCCTAGGTGACATTAGGGGTCTTAAAGACCCCTGATGTCTCCATAAAGAGGACCTGTCACTGCCAATTGGCTATCATGTAGGGGGCTTGTTATTCCCCTGAATGATAGCAATAAAGTTAAGTGAAAAAAAGGTTTGAAAAAATTTAAGTTACAAAAAATAAATAAATGTAAAAGTCACAAATCAAAGCAATTAAAAAAAAAATGTAAGTCCCTCGTCCCCACTTACACATGCAAACATGCGTTGAGTGTGCATACGTGCGAAAACGACAGTTGCGCCAATTCCGTGGCACATGTTACATATCACTGCAATAGGGCTGCAACAACTAATCGACATAATCGATTATAATCGATTATTGAAAAAGTTGTCAACCTCCTCCCCACCTCCTCCCCACCTCACGCTCGCCGCTGCCAGACCCGACTACACTGCAAACATCAGAGTGAGAGCAATCATTTTAGGGCCACCAATCACTGATAACACTAAACTGATGAGCGATTATAGCTTTTAAAGCGTCGCCTGTGGCCAATTTCGGGTATGGTAGTTTTTTTGCGATTTCGCAGGTGCGCGCAATTTTAAAGCTTGACATGTTTGGTGTCTATTTACACGACCTGACCCCGTCTTTTATATTTTACCAAAAATATGGGTAATAATAAATGTTTTATAACATATCGTAGGGAAAACATTTTTTTTTCAAAATTTTAGATACTTTTTTCATTATAAAGTAAAAAATAAAAACCTCAGTGGTGATTAAATACCACCAAAAGAAAGCTCTATGTGTCCCCAAAAAATGGTATAAAATTCATTTCAGTACAGTGTTGCATGACGGAATAAATGTCAATCAAAGTACTGCAGCGCTGAATACTGAGAAATGGCTTGGACAGGAAGGGGGTGTAAACACCTGGTCAACAAGTGGTTAAAGGACTTTTTCCAAAGTCTGGTCTTTTTATTTACATTTTACCCTTAGTGAATGAGTACAGAAATTGCAATACTTTGTTCAGGCTTCAAGCCTATTGCTGGATAGACTGGATAGAAGACAACTGTAATCATTTAATCAGAGAAACAGATTCTAATACGGTGTAATGTTCCCTAATATAATCCATTTCTCAAATTAAATGACATTACATGTCCCTGTAATAATACTAGGGACGCGGCCGGGAGAGGAGGTGAGTCACAGGACCCGCCCCCTTTCTGAGAAGCGGCTGTGCAAAAGAATGATCGCCACCACCGTCTTTAAGGGGCCCGCTCAGTCCTCTCTGCCCAGTGGCCAAAATCCCCGAGAGCGGATCTCAGTGGGCCCCTTAACTGCCTTGGGCCCCGCGGCGGCTGCACCGGCTGCACCACCGGTAGTTCCGCCCCTGCGAGTACCCCTTACTCATTCACAAAGGGAGGGGCAGCATCTGGGTGCCCCTTAAATAAAGGGATACCCTGTTGCAAAACCCCCCCTGCCCACAGACCTCCACAAACAACGCCCCAGACGCAAGGTGCCTTTCCAGGGAGGACCCTGGAAAAGCACCCTCCCAGTGCCGAAGGCATGTGGCCTGGTATGGCAGGGAGGGGCCACTCGCCCAAACCCCCC